AACGCTAAGTGAATGAAGCGTTCTGGTCATGCATCCTTTTTATCTTATCGGTAATTTTTGCGCAATCACTTCTTTCCAGATTTTCAGTCCCAAATCACCAAAAAATGAATATGTTCTAGAGACCAAAGGCGGATCTGAGATGCGTTGGGCTCCGGAAGATGAGGGCCCACAACGCGGTTTCAGGGTTCCCAGAGTAGTATAGCGTTCCTGCATCCCCCCTTTTTCTTCAAATTTCACTCTTGACTCATGGGCTCCCTTTACCAAAATTCTTGGCTTTTATGGGGCCCCTTAGTAGTTTTTGCTTCGCCACTGCTAAAAACTTTTTAGTTTTATTTCCTACCAAACTTTAGCAATGAGGAAATATGATTTGTTCCGCCTTTTATGTCTTATGCGGTATGAAAAAGAATATAAGGGCAGTCCCCTAAGTTGAAAATTTGGCAAATTTGCGGGAGTTTGTTTCAGTTGATATTTAGGCATTATTGAGATAACAGAGAAATTAAACTTATCGAATTCAGTCAAACAGGCCCATACAATTAGTCCATATACATACTTTCCCTGCCCTCCTGGTACTCACCGATCATGTGGCAACGTTGCCCCTTTCCATATATACGCTGCAGCGAGTTATTTTTCGTTTCGTGCAAGGTCCGTGTGTTGTTTGCCCTTCAGTACGGATACGTACAGTAATGGACAAAAGTATATCTACAAATTATTATTGTGCTGTATTCCTTTTTTAAATGGTTTTATTAATACACCAACCTGTATACATAATTCGTTATAGCATAATACTCACGTATAGATAAATAAATTCGTTAGACTCCCTTCAGTAAAAAATTAATTGAAAAAAGTGGAACTATGAAGGACAAAAATATATAGACAAAGCAAAACAATTACAGAAAAAAGAAGCAAAGTTCATTGAATTATAGAAAACCAACCATGTTTGTGTTAATATTTTGTAGCATAACCATCATTATCAATTACCGCCTGGTATCGTCTCGGCATAGATTGTAGAAGTTTCTTGATATAAGATTCATCAATCTGTCTCCACTTTTGCTCTAAAACGGGAAAAAGTTCATCCTTGTTTGAATAATTTTTATCTAGTATCTGCTTATCTAAGTATTCCCATATATTTTCAACGGGGTTTATATCGGGAGACTGTGAAGGCCATTTGAGAACTGGTATTTTTTCATCCAGAAAGAATTTCTTTGCGAGATTTGAAGTGTGCTTCGGGTTATTATCTTGCTGGAAGATTGATCTTAAGGGCATATTGTCTTCCATATAGGGTAACATGACATGCTTTAGTATGTCTGTGTATACAAACTTATCCATAATGCCATCTATTCTATGTAAAGGTCCCAAACTCCGAAAAGTACCCCCAAACCATAACAGACCCGCCTCCATGTTTGACAGTGGGCAAAGTGTACTTGGGGTTCAATCGTTGTCCACTAGGACGTCTAACGTAATGGACACCATCTGATCCAAACATATTGAACTTGGATTCGTCACTGAAATATACCCTCTTCCAGTCACAGATGCTCCAATCAAGATGCAACCGTGCAAATTGTAATCGGTACTTACGGTTTTTCCTCGAGCTTTAGCGGCTTCTTACTCGGCGACTTGCTAATAACTTCAAATCATTTAATCTTCTACTTATAGTTTTCGTAGAAACACTGACAATTCCTTTTGTCTCGATTTCGGCTTTTATTTGTCTTGGGGGTTTTAAACAGATCTTTGGACGAAATTACTTTTATTAATCTAACTCTAACTGATCTAGCATTTAGTTTTCTAGGCCCACCACTTCTCTTAGAGGCTTCCAAGATACCTTTTTGTTTATACTTGTGCAATATTGCTCAAACTGCTTTACGCTTCAGCTTCAAATTTTTTGCAATGTCGACTTGACGTTGACCATCTTTGTATAACTCAATCTTAGTTTTTATATCGAAAGAAATTTCTGGACCACGCGGCATGCTCTTAAAATCACTCAACTCATTCCACAATACTTGATGAACACAAACTAATCCTCTTCTAACACGAAACTGTACTAAACTAATGTTGAAAAGAGTTTGTCTATCTATATATTTTTGTCCCTCATAAAAAAGTGGTTATATTCAGACTTGTATTGTGTTCATTGCAGATAATGTAAAAACAAGGAATTTAGTTTTTCTACTAATAACGCATTTGTTTATGGAGCAATGAAGATGAATTCGTTTTCTAAAGGTATTTAGGTAAATATTCATATTTGTCTATATACTTTTGTCCATTACTGTATGTATCTCATTTTTGAAATTTTTCACGATTACAGTACATCCTCGCCCAGTGCCGCAGTGAAATCAGTGCCGTAGACGGTTTTTCTTCTTTTGTGGGTGTCAAGGTATCCCCAAAACATCTCGGTTTAGTTTGAACCAGAAACGTTTTTACGCAGTTTACTTATTTTATTCATACTATTTGTCTGGAATTTTGAGTCGATATCTATATCCGTTTCATAGGTATATTATTTTATCGATTTCATAAGTACAACTTCCATACCGCATCTTGATTCTTGATAAGGGGGCAATTTAGCACCCACGTGTCTGTCTTGGAAATATCAATAATACAGGGTAGTCAAAAAATTCGAAGAAAATTGAGCTTTAATTTTTTTTAACACGCTTTTATTATTAGCTTGGGCTGTATGTAGGTATGTATGTAAGTATGTATATGTTGCGGAATCTTTGAGCACAATCTTCATCAATTTCCAGAAGTTTGATTAATTTGAAACTTCGCACATGTATCAAGGACCGATGTAAATGTAGTATATGCAATGTTCACAAAAAACTAATCGATAAATCGAACTAAAAAATAAAAAACAAATGATAGTTTAAAGAAACATGCTTTTATAGCTAACCGAACTGAAAATTAGAAAATAATTTTTAATTACAAAGAGTTTATATTACAGTAGTAGATGTCGAACAATCAATCATAATTAATGACCTAAAAATAAAATTATAATAAAATTTAAATTTATTAACAGACTAATTCAATTCAGAGTAAGAAGCGTGGGGTGCATTTTACATTTTCATAACTCTACTCTCATAGATAGTTGCCAATAGAATGATTGTAACATTAAATATATCAATAACCCCACGCTTTTTATTCTGAATTGAATTATCCTGTTAATAACTTAAATTTTACTATAATTTTATTTTGAGGTCATTTTATGATTGATTGTTCGACCATCTACAAATGTAATATAAACTCTTTATAATTAAAAATTATTTTCTACTTTGTCATTCGGTTGGCTATAAAAGCGTGTTTTTCAGTGTTTTTAAACTATTATCTATTTTCGAATGCTTTAATAATCTCCGTTCGTTTATTAATTATAACATAAACGTATGTTCTACAATAATTTCACTGTTAGTTTGATTAAATTCCGCTTCTTATACGTTTAAGTCATCTAAAAATAGGCAAAAAATTAACGAATTTTAGTGTATACCTATCCTTGAATTTTCAGAATAATTTAAAAAAAAATATTTTCTATAAAGGGCCGTTCTTTAAAAAAATCAATGCGGGCACTTATTCCCAATGCGGGCATTTATTGGTCAGAAACCAATAAAATAAACTATAAATAAAATAACATAAGCAATAAGTCAATATTTTTAGTGAGAAGGATGAACTTGACGCTTTAATAATAAATTATCAACATTTGGCGTCAATTTTGTAAGGGTTAATCTTAAATCTCCTCGGCTAATGATGTCCAGTCTGTTTCTTTTTTTCGGTAGGAGATTGCTAACAGCGCTGAACCCCCTTTCCACTAGGTATGACGATGGAAAGGAAACTAAAAATTTCCTCGCTATATTCCATAATACGGGATAAGTAACGGGTATGTTGATTTGCAGCCAGAATTGCTGACATCCGTTTTTAAACTGAACCTTAAGTTTTTCTTTTGTACTTAGTTCAGTCAGTTTCTCTTGTATTATGACATTCGTTTCTTCTATGTCACCATATGGATTAATTATCCACGGTGGTATTACCATAGTCAAAATATCCTCAAACCTAGATTCAAAATCTGAATAGAGGACATTTAAATGTTGAACGTAAGTTGAAACGTCGTCTTCCTGGCAGCTTGTCTGTAACAAATTGGGGAAGTGAGAAAATTTTATCTTTAGTATCCAGAAATTCTAAAATAGTCTCCAATAGTGCAAAAAATCTTGTCAAACATAAGCCTTTCTACAGCCAGCGTACTTCAGTGTGAATGAGTAATTGATGAAAGTGTTCATTTTCTTCACACAACTGCATCAATGAAGATGAAGTGATTCATGCAATCTAACACTCAAATTTTTAGCAAGTAAATGTTGTCGATGGATGACGCAATGTATTGCTAACACTTCTGACACATTTTGTTTTAAATAGCTTATAAATCCACGATAACGTCCAACCATGGCAGGTGCTCCATCTGTAGCTACTGATATTATATTTGATAAAGGAATTGCTTTTTCAATGAAGTAATCCTTCAAAACATGAAATATTGATTCACCTATAGTGTCGGTTATCAAAGTTCTTGCGAAGAGCAGTTCTTCGTAGATTTCTTGATTCATAATAAAACGAACATATGCCAATAATAATGCTGCATTATCAGGTAAAGTCGACTCGTCCAGTTGTATAGAGAAATGGGTCGTTTGCAAATAATTACATAAGAAGCTTTCAATATCAGAACTCATTTCATCAATACGTCTTTCAACAGTATTGTTGCTTAAGAGCCGTTTTACACACAAGAGAATTACTCCGAAAATTATGGTCATAATTATGCCGAAAATTTGCATGGAAAAAATATTGAAGATTGTCTCTACAACCTGTATGACACCAGCAAACAAAATTTCGGAGTAATTCATATGATACGCCTGCGCATTAGAGTAATATTTTGGAATGGACATAACCTTAACGGGTGTGACATCCAATATAATCGGAAAGACAACAGACGTCGTTGATTTATATTTATGAAATCGAGATCTTGGTTAATATTATAAAAAATGAATTTGAGTCAATCTGATTTACTCTTAACTGCTGCAGTGACTTGTTGTGTCTTAATATACCAGTTAACAAAAAACAAATTAGGTAGTAGAAAAAGATCTCAGTGGACAAAAAAGTGGCTGCAGAGAAAAAAGGGTAGAGGTACTTTAGCTCTTTTAAACAGGGAGCTACGAGTAGAGGATACGAATGCTTATAGAAATTTTCTTCGCCTTGATGATACTCAATTTGATTACCTGTTAGCATTGGTCGAACCTCATATAAAAAAGGAAGACACTTTCATGAGAGAAAGCATAAGTGCCCAACACAGGTAGTAAGATAGCAATAATTATTTGTTTTTGTTTATTATACAACACATGCATAAAGCCTGTATAGTTTTGATTTGGCATCATATAAATTTGGACAATTGAATTTACTTTTGACCTATGTATATATAGCTAATGGGACTTATTGTTTTTAGGCTTGATGTCACATTGCGTTTCTTGGCTACTGGTGAAACATATAGAAGTCTCATGTACAGCACAAGAATTCATGAGAGCACAATTTCTAAAATTGTTCCAGAAACATGCTTAGCATTATGTAGATGTTTGAAAGATGTTTATTTGAAGGTATTTCAATTCACTATGATTTCTATAACTAGATCATTTAACTGTTACTTAAATCGTAGAATCCAACTACAGATGATTGGTTGAAAGTTGCTGCAGATTTCCAAAGCAAGTGGAATTTTCCAAATTGTCTTGGAGCATTAGATGGCCGTCACATAGCTTTTAGCCCACCTACATCTGCTGGATCATATTACCACAATTACAAAGGCACAGACAGTATGGTTTTACTAGCTTTAGTAGATGCCAATTACAAATTTATCTATGTGAATATTGGTGTTAATGGCCGAATTAGTGATGGGTCTTCAGTGCTTGTGGACTTTATAAAAGAATGCAAAACAAGACACTTAATCTGCCACCAGACAGAGCTCTTCCTGGTAGGACAAATAAAGTGCCTTATGTTTTTATAGCTGATGAAGCATTCCCATTATCTAATCATTTGATGAAACCCTTCCCACAACGTTCATTGACATATGATAATAGAATTTACAATTACCGTCTGTCAAGAGCTAGACGAATGGTGGAGTGTGGCTTTGGAATACTAGCAAACAGATGGAGAGTTCTATTACAAAAAATACACTTGGGACCAGAAAAAGTTGAACTCATAACATTAACCTGTGTACTTTTACATAACTTTTTAGTTAAAGAGAATGCTATGTACACTACTGAAGGCACGTATGACATTGATCCATCCCAACTGTTACCTCAAATTTCACAGCAAATTGGGAATCGATCAGGAAATTCTGCGAGATCAATCAGAGAAGAATTTAGGGATTATTTCAATTCAACATCTGGATCTGTGCCATGGCAAGACACAGCTTTACAAAGGAACATTTCATAAAATATTGAGTCAAATAATTATTTCTATTATTGTACCGTATTGTATACAGAAATAAAATAATGAAGTATCCATTTAATGCTCTTTAATTGAAAAACATCATTTCCTGCACCTTCGCAGGGCAGTATTTAATACATTTACAATTTCAGCTTCAACCTCATCTCTTATCTCACTGTCCGTTATTCGGTCAAGCTTTGAGGCAACATATTCCCCAAAGATCTGGTTAGAGGATTTCTCCCTGGTTTGTCCCAGTCTTTGGGAAATATGTTGCAAGGTACTTTTGACCTCCCCCATAACATCTGTATCCTCTTCTTTCCTTTTCCTTTTTTTGGGGGCACTTGTCATGCTCACCCTTGAAGAGCTTCTAGAGTGGCTTGGCGTGCTGATATGCTCCAAAGCCCCTGATGGTGATACTGCCGCCGAGAGCACCTCCTCTGCTAAGGCATCCTCATCATCTGCTTGTTCAATCTGAAATGAACAGGTAGTAATATAGAATAAAGTTTTCTAGTTTTGGCAAAATAGGTATAAATATACGTTATATTTACATTAAATTAATGCTTGATTAGATTTGGATATGAAAAATCATGAAACAGTAAAAAGAATGAAGGTAATGACCAGTTTCATGACAATGTAACACCAGCTTGTACTTGGCATGTTATTTGTTACATAAATAATATGGAGTACATGGTCATAGGTCCATTCTGTTATCATAAATGCAAAAGTATTGATGACTATTCAGCAAAGTTCAAGTGTACTTTTAGGTTTAGACAAAATCACTGTTGAATTCAGATTTAAGTGAAATTTGGGCTTTGGCCATAGTGAAATATGCAACACAACATCGGCACTTACCAATGTTATATCTTGTTCTTGAACATCTTCGCTTTCCAAAGAATCGAATGCTCCTCTTTCTTCACTATTGTCAAACACATAGCCAATCAAATTATGATACCACAGTGATGGCTCCGTGATCTGTGAAAAATATTACTTTTAACACTCAATCAGATACATAATATACATAGTGGAAGTGAAATATGCAAACATATAGAAAAAACTTACATCATCTGAACCAGCGCCGCTTCTTTGCGATTCCAAACATTTTCGCCTCTCCTTGCTGGCATTTTGTTTCAAAGCTTGAAACTTTGCTTGTACATCCTGTGCTGTCACGTTAGGTTTCAAACTTCTCAATGCTTGGACTACCGCATCCAGCGCCTGACGCCGCAAATTTCTATTTTTGTAATTGGCTGACTTCACCTTGTACAGGTTTGGCCATTTTTGGTACTCCTCCAACAACAGTGTAACTTCTTCCCGATTCCACGACATTATGAATAAACAATAAACATAAACGCTTCTTCGTACGACTCGAACAGGACCACTCCAACAAATGTTAAGTGAGGTTATGTTGTTGTTGTTGTTGTCGTTGACATTTGATATTGACATGCACGGAAATAACCCTCTGCGCCGATTCTCGCGCATATAATATAGAACGGGTTTTATATTTTTACCATGAAAATTTTCACAAGAATTCTTTTACGTGTAATACGACAGCAAAAATTTTCGGCATAATTATGACCATAATTTTCGGAGTAATTCTCTTGTGTGTAAAACGGCTCTAAGGGAATTATTTTAATGATATCAGATGCAGGTTTGTGTAAAACAGTTTTTAAAACCTCTTCAACGGCTGGCAAAATTAACTTCTCCCCGATAGTATGCGGTTTTCCGGATTTTGCTATAAGTAACGAGATATTGTAAAACGCCCGCAAACCATCATCATTTCTTTGTGACGTCGAAGCGAACATTCTGTCCAGTGTATAGGTCTCTTCTGAAATTTATCTTTGAGTGTTTGAAAGTATTTCAAATCTTTCTCTGTTTTATCAGGGTGGCATCTTCTCGGATGATCTTGCAGTTTAGATGGTTTCATAGCGTCATTGCCCAAAACTTTGTTGCATAAAATGCACATAGGCGATTGTTTGTCCGGCAATGATGGAATGAAGCCAAATTTCAAATAATCAACACTGTACTGTCTACATTTCTTTTTAGATTTGGACATGGCATCAGTCATCTGTGGGCAAAATTAAATTATTTAAATAAGACAGAAAATCCAGCAGCTGTATATATTAAAAATATTTTTTGATTTTTCCGAAAACATTCCATAATTCGAACATCTTCTTGCAACAATTAGCTCGAATTACGGAGATTTCACTGTAATTATATTACCGATTGCTAAAACTTTCAAAAAGAAACTATTGAGGAGTATTCGTGTAATTTTGCATGATTGAATATTTAACTACCAATAACTAAAGTCATGATTGGCGTAATTTATCTATCTTTGCTAACTACGAGTACAAAACTAAAATTTAATAAAAAATAATGTACTTACTTTTCTCCAGCACTCTCAAACAAAATAACACTGACTCACTATAATTTGTGTGATATACTATCTGTTTATATTTTTTAAAATATTTTCTTAGCACTTTCCTTTTTAAGATTCAGGAAACGAATAAACGTATTTGTCCCACATTCGTATTTATAGAGTGACGAATTGAACAAGTCAGTGCAAGGTAGCGAAGCTCTGAGACTGCGACTCTCAGGTTTTTACAAGTTCAAAATGTATTGCGACCACAAAGCGAATACCACCATCCTACAACTTACACAATTTTATAAACATATACGTATATGATAAATTTTTTACTTCATAGGTACTTTTATAAATAATGTTTATGTTTTGATATTATAAGATAGTATGATGTAAGTAAATAGGTACTATCAGTGTATGTGTTGAGATCCACTATCGTGGACCCCCATATTCATTTCATGGACCCCCAATTTTTTTTTCGCTGACGTAGACCCCTTGCAGGTTGTCATAGACCCCTAGGGGTCGATATAGACCACTTTGGGAATCAATGGTCTAGATTCTAGAAAGTGGAACGCTGTTTCGTCCTCCTCCAAGCACATGGAGAACCCCCACCAAAAGGATGAGTGATTGTCTACCCCTGTCCAGTAGCCAGCGCGACCGCTACGAACCTCTTGGCATGTCTACAGTAATACTGAAATGTATAATATACAGTAGTTGAAGTTGGTTATTAGGTGGATGCCAGCACCTACGAAAATCGTAGCGGGAAAACAGCCATGGTCGATAAAAATAATATGCAATCATTGTTGAAACGAACGCAGCGACGATGGCATATTTAAAGCAGCATCGCAGGCCAGCTTTGAATGGTGTCAGGCGTGAGGTAGCCACGGCAGGCGGCACATTTGAAAGCGTCGCCGCCTGCCGCCAACGTTGCAAGGTCGCCGACCTTGACGAGAGATTGACTAATCGCAGGTTCGCACAGCTATTTACCATCGGCATTAGCCAGCCGAAGCTAAAGGCGATACACACTCGCATGCGGAAGACAAACCGTAAAGACCAATGACGGTGATTGGTCCAAACATCGGCTTGAATTTTTCGAATGAACTTTCAATGCTTAGCTTCAACATGATTACTATAGTTTTTAACCGACAAAAGTGCATTCATTGATAATAGTATTTGCTTTTAGATCAAAGGGTCCGTGAACATATTTTGGTGATAAAATTCAGGTACGGCGTTAGTAAAACTAGTTCGCCCCTGTCTAGTTGAACAGGCCATCCGTTTTTTCAAAAGGCGAACTTTCCACAGAAAAAAATTACAAATTGACCTGTTTGGAGATCTTGGAGGCCACGGCATATCTCCGAAACGTGAAATCAGTTTTCTTGGGAAATTTGATAGGTTGGCGGTATGTGCCGTGGCATCATCTTGCTGAAACCACACATTCCTTGGGTTTATCCCTTTTCTGGGTGGTACTGGCACCCATAAATCATCAGAATGTAGCTATCAGAATTAACGGAGACGGTACGACCAATGGCACATCATACACTGACTTTTTTAGAATGTCTAGTGGATTTTTAGGAGCCCAGAACCTAAAATTATGTATATTAACTGTTCTAAGTGAAGATGAGCTTCGTCGTTCGTTAGAAGATGAAGGTCTAAGTTTTTCTATAAAATAACTTGCAGTCTCGTACCGAAATCCGCACGCTTTTCAAAATCGCTTTCCTTTAATTCCTGGACAGCCTGTAGTTTGTAGGGTTGACATTTTGTTATTATGCCAATTTTTACTAAACGATTCCCGATTCATGTTTAATTCAATTGCATGTTTTCGGGCGGATCGTATAGGATTTCTAACGACCGCAGATCCCATGTTGTTACCCTGTACAATCTGTATATTGGCCAATTATATAGTGTGTTTTGTGACCAGTTACCGTTCCTAATGAAGTCTTATAGATGGCTCTGTCTATATGACCATATGCAAACACGCATATAGATGGACACAGCGCCATCTTTGAGACACTAAACCTTTGCAAATTGTATATTATAAATAGCGAAACAGCTGTGACATTCTTATAGATCAGTGTTTCTCAAATTTATCTAAACCGCGACCTCTCTTTGTTACAAACATTCTTCACGACTTAAATTATAACTGATGGTTTATAAAATTTTTTACTATTTTACTCTTTACGCTTAAACATAATACAATAAAAAAGTTCAACTCTTACTTTAATAATCAATTGCATTCTCTCCCACTAGACTTAATATTTAGTTCTATGTTTCATTATTCGATAATTTTTTGTGCATCTGGCATTTTTAAAACAAATACAAGAGTCATGATTTAACAAAGTGGTGTTTTTGTTTTGTTTTGGGAATTTCCGGCGGCCTCCCTTGTACCCCACTGCGACCCCCTAGAGGGTCGCGGCCCACACTTTGGGAAACACTGTTATAGATGATGCTACAGATAATTTTTTGGACGCAGGAATATTGCATAAGGTAGAATACGTTAATCAATGCTATAAGATGGTATTGTTATTACCCGCCTGCCTCGGAAGGGGGATTATGTTTTACGCGCGGGGGTTTGTATGTGGCAAAAAAATTTATTTTAGGGGCAGTGCAAACATTCTGAGGGATTCGGACATATGAAATGTTGTTGGGTATATCAAAATTTTATAAAATGAAAATGGCGGATTTTAATCGAAAATTTCAGCTTTGAATTTTGTATTTCACGGGCTACAGCCCAAACGACTCGATGGATGTTGACATATGAAGTGTCCTTAGATTTATTTTGATAGCATAATGGAAAATTCATTTCAGTTACTGTAGTTCTGTTGGGCTATTTGTATTTTTTTAAATGTACTTGTACTCAGATGAATTAGATCTTAA